CGGATGATGATATTGCAATGTGTTTTACAATCATACAAAATCAGCTTCTTTATTATTATATTAGATTTGAATTACGTACTTGAGACTTCTCTCAAATTCCGCGAATCAAACAAAGTCCTTTGCGATTTGTGGTCTTTGTCTGTTGTTAAAAAATTGAACACAAAACATACCAACGAACACCAAATGGGTACCGATGTGGTTGGAGCTCTGCTCTAATATTTTGCACATATTACACACATCAAATATTCGACGGCCAAAGTTCACAACAAAAGATAACTTTATCAGCCCATACATTTTCGGACTGTGTGCCGTTCACACACACTTTGAATATCAATTGAATACGTGGAGTCAAAGCAAATTTTTGAAATGAATGGGTTATCGACGCTATCGAACGAAAAATTATTTTCACCCTTTCAAAGTCATGTTATTTATGTATTTCGTTAGTTTTTTTTTTATTTTGTATGCGTGTGTCTATGTGTGTTCGGTTTGTTTCTTTTGTCGGCTTTGGTAGGTTTGTTTTTTTTTGGGGGGCACAATTGTGTTCTTTCAACACCATATTTTACATAAAGCACCATGCGAATCTCGTGATCATATCGAAATGAAAGGATATCGAATGGTTTTCATCCTTTCGGAAATGTAATATTGAAATGCGTTTTGATGGCTTTCGGTTATCACAAAAATACCATCATTTACTTGTGTTGTTGATGAATATAATTTTTGAGGATTCGTTTCATTGACACATGATTAAAAATGAGAGACGAAAGTAAAGAACATTTCCTCAAGTTGGATGGAAGAAGCAAAAAAAAAATCCAAAGTCAAACCAAACCACAAACCACCGTTGATCCACTCGAAATGGCACTCGTGTCATTTAATAAATATTAATAATGGCACATCACCATTCAAACTGTTCTTTTTCTTTTATAATTTCATCTATTGGCATGGTTTTCTTTACTTCACATATATTTATTATGTAACAAGTACGGTTTTTGCTGGTTTTGCATGTCTTCTTCTTGTGATTTTTTTTCTTCATTTTCTTCAAATGAAATGGGCATTGACGTGAACTCAAACAAGAAATATGATGAAAAGCAAAATCATGAAAACGATGTTAAAACACGAAAGTTACGTTAAATGCGTAATGGGAACTGAAAAAAAAGCGCATACATATACAGCAAGTAATTTCAAGTCAACGAAAAGTTAAATTAATTTGACACTGCGAAACGAAACGAAAACACTGTTGAAATGAAGCAACGATCAAAATGGAGCGAACGAGAGAAAGAGAAATTGCACGTCAACATATACAGTTGGAATGTTGTGTGGATACAGTTTTTATCAGCAGTCAAAAGACGTAAAGGTGAAACTGATGAATGCGATTACACTCAAAAGAAAACAAAGATAAATGTAAATGTTTTCGCGGCGCATCATGGAGAATGAGAGAAAAAGAGAGTCGAAACGTCTTACATTTGGGAAAAGTGAGTAAGTGGGATAGACACAAGTGCCGTCAGTCGACGTATTTTTTTGTTGCTGTTGTTGTTAAAACATAGAATGCTATTGGGGCGCAACAAAAACAAATGACTCCGTCGTATATCTTTCCGTGTGAAAACAAATTTAAATCTATTTTCGATCGACAACGCCATTTAGCCTGTCTTAAACGCTGCCGAAGTCGATCTTCCTGACTTGACCTATCCATTTATTGTTTTGGTTGCTAATTTGCAATGTGTTTCGCATCGCGCAAATGAAGAGCCAGGCAACAGTGTGTGGAGCATGAGAAGGGAAAAAAACAGCACCAACATTGACTTAAGTTATTGAGTTCTGACGCCAGATTGAACTGCGTCGTAAGCGTCTCGAGAAAAAAAATCTCGAGCATAATATGCGAAGTAAAAGTGAGAGAAAAAAAAGAAAATGCCAACGTAACCAAAAGATAGATTATTTTTAATTACTTCGATATTACGCTTACGCGTGTTGCTATGTGTATCGTTCAAAAGAAAATGACGAAAGAAACGAGCGTGAAGGGAAGAAAAATTGCGCGCTGTATACATTGCTACAGCGGCAGCATCTATTTTGTGACATACAGGAGGAAAAAAATATGAAGAAAAACCAACAGCAAAAAAAAAAATAGCTGAACTGAGAAATCATTTTGCCCTCATTTCCCTATTGAAATTCTTTTGCTAAAATGAAACACACGAATTGGAATACATGTTGGCAGGCGCTGGAGCAAACAAATTTAGTTCATGTCGAACGATGGCTTTGCTGTAAGCCAAACATTTGTTTTCAATGAAAACGACGAAATTTGTTGGTTTGCGGTTTTTACGACAGTCGAAGGAATTTGTCGTTTGTATTACATTCCGCTACAATTTCTCTCTCTCTCTCATTCTTCTTCTCTTTATCTATCTCTCTACCTTCTCCCTCCCTACCTTACTCTCCCGCACGCTCATTCTCATTCATTTGAAAATGTGCTTGTGTTTATGTGTGATACGACTTTGTGTCATGCTGTTTCTATTGAATATTGTCAAAAAAGGTGTGCAGCAATGTTTTCCGAAATTTTTTACATATTCATTCACCAATACAAATGTAAAGGTAGATTGCATTGATGTTTAAAATATTTGTTGGTTTTTGTTTGCTGTCTCTCGAAAGCCAACGATAGAAATAAGATAAATTCCTTGCCTTCGTTCGTTACATATATTGTTTAACTGTTGTTGTTATTTTACGCTCCATTTTTGGCCTCTAATTTATTCACTTTGTATTTCACTGTTAGTTTATTGCTTTCCATATTAGAAACAATTTTCTTTCCCCCACTTCATGGCATTTCTTTTTTTCTTTCTTTTTATTCAACTTTTTCCCGATTTTCTCTCGTCTTCAATTTTTTGTTGTTGTTGCTTCGTTGTTTTGTATATATGTGCACCGTCAAGGAGATTTATGCACAAGAAAAACGAACGAAAAACCATGTGAAAAACGGTAAAACGAAATCAAAACAAATAAAATACAGAAGAAACAAAAATATATATAAATTCTTTTATCACACCATATGCTGTCTAATAATTAAAGATTCACTGTGACAACAAAACTGTGAAACAGAACAGACGTAAATTATTATTAAGTGAAACTGAAAAACGAACAAATGAAAAATGGATGGGATTTTATGAAGAACTATTGAAGAAAAATTCGAACGAAATGAAAGTGAACGGAGAGTAGAAACAACAACAAAAAATTGACTAAACTAATGGTTTGCATGCAACTCTGCCTTGTTTTACTGTACTATTCACTTACTTCTTTTTCACCGTTCTCTCGTATTGCATCATTTTCTCTTTCTTTTTCTTCTTCAATGCCTTCACGCGGTTGTATGCGATAGCATGCACACACACCAAGTACATATTGGTTTAAGTGATTCCACGTGTGATAAATGTGTTTTGGAAATGTTCGATACATTTCGACTTGTTAGGTCTTGTGATATATCGTATGTTTTTATGTTTTGCTTTTGAAAGTGGCGAAAACGATGTGATTGATTTATTAAATATTTTACAAATTTTAAGTAGTCGTGTGCACCAAGCACTAACAAATCTATATGTATTTGGAATCAACGAACTAACGAACCACTCAATACTAGGTGTGCACATTGATTTCAAGCAAAAGCCATATGTCGTCACTTCAACTATGAAGGTAGTTTTTCAACGACGTATATACGAGAAAAATGAATGGAGAACAAAAAACGGGAGTGATTTGTTTTTTTTTTTCATTTACACATCCTCAATCGGTAGGAGAAAAATTTCTGATCGCTTTTGTTTTCACATTGTTCAATAAAAATTAGACGTGTTTCGGTATTGCATAGCCAAAGCACGTGCTAATTGTAATTTTCTGTTTTTCTTTCTCTTGAATTTCGGTGCCTTTTCATCATGTTTCCATGGATATAGAGAGATCGTTGTATTCCACGGCGTTTTTACTTTCAACGTTAAGCGGATCTTAACGACGATATAATTTAGTTGTTGAATATTGTTGGCTGTCTCTTTTATATACGCAGAATTACAATGTTTTTAGCGCTACATTTGGCCTCGCGTGCAATGAATAAAAAAAAGTCCAGAAAAACAAATTACACACATTACAGAGAGGCAGAAAAAAATAAATTTTAATGACTTCTAAGACTGTTTTAAACTTTTTGTTGAATCTCTCTCTCTCTCTCACTTTGTGTGTGTGTTGGCAATTTTTCGTGGCCATTTTGGTTCGCTACTTTCTTGGTCCTCGAAGTAATATTGAGTTCCCCTCGTTTTTTTTTCCGGTTCCTTTATCGCATTTTATGTTGAGCCAAACAGTGAGAAATGGCGAGAAAGAAGCACTAAAACGGCAAAGGTATTCTGATTCGGTTGTTTTGTATTAAACAAAAAGACGAATGCGTCGTATTTTCAACGATAAAATAGCAAGGATACGCGGGATAAAAATATACGCGCTCGTGAGCATACGCATTCACTAGACTTTGTTCGGCTGCGATAAAAACAATGCAAAGCTAAATAGCCAAGGCAACAATGAGATGACGAAGAAGAAAAAATAAGCGCAAAAACAGTAACGGGAGAAGAAAGAAAAAAATGTTAGCGAAAACGAAAAGTTGAGGCCATTTAAATTAGATTTAATGTTCTCTTGTTCGTTCGTCGCGTCGACAATGTGTCATGGATAGAAAATAGAATTCAAGCAATGCCACATTCCATTCAGACACTTTTTTATTTTGCATTTTCAACAAAACGAATCTAGAAACTTACAATCAACTTTTACTTTGTAATTATCGGAATTAAGTAAATTTATACCTACTCTACTGACATATTGGTTGAATAATTTCTTTTTTTTTCTCTTCATCAAATCAACTTTACCATGAGAAATACGTGTAAATTATTTGAAGTGACCCAATGGTGATTTTTTTATTGGCCACAGAATTAACCTTTTGGAATAATTCTTTTTTTTCTTTCTTGAATGATGTAATTAATGAAATCTTTTTTCTTCCTTGTTTCAATTTTATACAGATTTACCTGAAAGGAAGCCAATGCTTTGGACCGAACACGAACGTTATGAGCCAGGCGAAATATTGGTAGCCAACTGCAGTTCACCACCATCACGACCCCGAGTAGAGCTGAAACTCTCCATAAACAATTTAGTGGTGAGTGTTTGATTTAATAAAAAAAAATTCGGTGCAAATAGAAAAAATCTATATCGTTGGATAACAATCTTTGAGTTCGACCAACAATTTTTAATGCAAAACTTACATTTGATAATTCTGTTGATGTTTAATTCGTTTTCTAGCATATATTATCTTATTACCATGTGAAAATGTGGCTCAGAGACTCTCTATAAGTCCAAGCAAAACCAATTTTATATTCAAGCGGCTACAAAACACAAGCATATGATGATGTGAATTTATGTTGGTATTAGGTAAACCAAAAATCTATCTCCTTTTTGCAACCCACACATATTTCAATTCGAATTTTCCATTTCTGCCAGCCTCACTCTGTCCCCATTAGCCTATTGCTCATTTGCTCGCTTGCCGTTCAGTTTGTTCGGGATTCAAAATACTTTATGCAATTTAATTTTGTTCGAACTTACATTATTTTGTGAGTGATTAAACTATGAGTTATGAGAGAAATGCCATCAACGAGACCAAGACGAGCTAAAGTTAAATTCGCATAAAATAAGACAGCCACCCCCAAAAACCGCATGTTTCAAAATCTCTGCATAGTATTCTCAAAAAGTATATGGTCAAATTAGCAAGTGAAATGCAAATAATAATAGTAATTATAATAATAATCATAATAATAAAAGAAAATGTGGCAACGAAATTCAGTGGTGCATCAGTTCTTTTTTTTTGGGATGTGGAAGTGCACAAATCCAACGATGATAAACGATTAAAACTTTTCGTTCTGCAATCAGACAAAGAGAGAATGAGCTCTTGAAATGAGCAAGCATCGTGAACAATTTACAGACAAAATGCCAGTTTGGTCGTCTCTCATATGCGGAGAGGAATTTTTGAGTTTTACGTACGACAACGGTGACGCCCCACGGAAACCATATAAACTAAATGATTTTGAGGTGGAGGAATTGATCAGTTTGAATACATAACGATACACGACAAACGGATAATTTGCTATCGTTATGTTTTCAAACAAATCGCTTCCATTCACTACATAGTTTATATTGTTTCCGTAGAGCGTCACCATCGTTGCACGTTTTTTTTTTGTATGGAGATCATCGCCATCCGCTCATGTAAACAAACATACAGATGTTTTACGGTTGTTGGTAAATTGATGAGCAACGAAAATGTCAACACCATTGCCTTCTATATAGTGAAAGTTGAATGAATAAATGAAAGAGAAACCAACATCTAAGTATATTCATTCTAGTCCACATGACAATATGTATTTTTGCAACGAAATGCGACTCAACTCAACTCAATTCCGCATGAAACTTAATTTTGTCTAATTGAAGACACAGATAATTTTGTAATATGCTGAGAAACGATGATCATGGATTATTTTACCAAATGACGTATATACCCACATATACCTCCGTTACAGTTTATATCGTACAGCTGAGGTCAAATAAAAAAAATGAGTTAAATAAATTACCAAACTCATTTTTTTTGCTCGTTGAAAGCCACCGATTTTTTTTTTATTCATATTCTCGAGACACTTTTTTTAAACTCATACATAAGCTAGTGGCAAAAATATGCTATTTAATGGAAAAAAACTTTTCCAAGCGTCAACATTTAATGGTTTCGGGCAATGTACTTTTCAATATTTCACATATTGATAGTGCCTGGCATCACGTGGTCGTTTAATAAGAAAATGTGCATGTATCAGAGATTCGAGCTTCGAATTTCGATATCGTTGGTATAGGCAACGGCTGTTGGTGCATGTGCTGACCAATCAGCAGTTTAATTTGTTGTTGTTGTAAGTGTGTGTTTTTTTCTAGCACGTTTTTCCAGCTTAGCCAATTCAAATTCAATCACATAAATGCATCTGAGGCTCGAAACTGAGCATTTTTCCGTCGTTCACCAACGATGTACAGTACTTATTGATAATGATTTTAGTTTCAAATCCTAGATAAAATGCAAATCACATTAAACTTTGCAAGCAAATTTTCGATTTTCTCTTCCACTGTGAACTGTGCTGGAGAACTCTACGATTTAAACTGTGAGGAGACATGCATAAACAGATATCCAAATGTTGATCGGAACCAAAGTGAGAAATGACAAACGAAACAAAAAACAGTCACAAAATTAATCAATATGAAACAGATATTCAAACGTATTCAAAATATAAAAATGTGTTTTAAACTCACATTGGCAATGGAAATGTTATCTTTTTTCTCTCTCGCGTTTGTTATAGAAAAAATCGGTTTATATGGCAGGCAGGCCGCATTTGTGAAATTTGTGTACAATTTTTAAGCATTTCTAAATCGTTTTTTGGGTCAATCCCTAAATGCGAAATCTTGATCTTTTCCGCTTTATTTATTTGGAATTGATGCGATTATCATGTAAATCATTTACATTTTTGGAAAAAACTCGCCTCTTTGCTCACACAACTTTATAAGAAAAATGAATCATTCATTTGGCATGCAAAGCGTTCAAAAACATACACACAATCTCGTCAACATTTCAACATTTTTGCCGTCTTAATGGATTATTGTTATGGATTTAGTTGTGCGTTGAAATTAAATTGAGGAAAGATGAACAATGAAGAGCAACACGTTCACACAAAACCTTGAACAATTGACAATAGATATTGTGTAATTCGTATGGAGTTGCACACAGTCATTCTCAAGACAACGATAACGAAAAGAATGAAATCGCGTCAAGGAAGTGCAATGTCGTAGAAATAGGGATTCATAAGAATAAATTTTTGATTAATCGTTAACAGTTTGCAGTGACATCCAATCCAATTTCAAAATTGAACAAAGATGTGAGTGAACCGAACAAACATTTGATAAATTGTTATTGCAAAATTTCCTACATGAAAATCGATTTTCTTTTGAGATTTTTCACGCTCTCTCTATTCTCTCTCTCTCTGTCTTTCCAAAGTTCGACAATCATACAAGTTTAGTATGCATGAGCAGGAAACCCGGAAAAATCAACACATTCACAGAAAGACAACGAAAACAAACTTTTTATTTGAAGAAAAAGAAATACGAACAAAAATGAGAAAAAAAGGAATCAATAAATCGTGTTTGGTTCACCTTTGAAGTACATGCAAAGTTTAAATGCTTACATGCCATAAAAATATAAAAGCAAAAAAAATAGAACAAAAATACTGAGTCAAGTGTGGATATTCAAATCACATAAAAATAAAAGCATATTCATTGACAAAAAGAGAGAGAGAGAGAGAGAGAGAGAGAGAGAGAGAGAGAGAAATATTCGTTTAGTATAACACAAGTATCAAAAACTGGTGTGCATAAAAAATTGCTGACTTGCATACCTCAAATATTCACTGTTAAAAAATAAGACAAATTTCATTATACAAATTTAATCTGCAGCAAATCCCGATAGAATTCCTCTGCGATAGAAATCTTTCGTTCGTTGAAACTTACCTCTCTTTCTCTCTCTCCGTAAGAATACAGCGGGTTGCATTCGTTTGGATTCATTTCGTATTTTCCATGTTGCACAATTATGGCATTTCAAAGGAATTTCTTGTTGTTGTTGTTGTATTTTATGTGCGCACACTGCACAAGAGAGACAGCGTGTATTATGAAATTCGGTTGGCTCTTTATGGTCCAATCAATTATGTTGTATTGTCGTGAGGCGATGTGGCTCATGGCAATTCAAAGAACAGACGAAAAACTAAAATGAGATAACGATTATTATAGAAAAAATGCGGTATATTTCACAATTTTCGACATGTTTGACCCAAACGTAGGGTATTCGCTTGTGGCATTATAACTTCGTGTTTTTTTTGTTTGTTTGTTTGTTTGTTGTGGTTGTACGCTCTTTTTTTTCTCTGTGTTATCTATTTTCGTTGCCATATTTTTATGAGCTGTATGTAGCATTGGTGTATCCTTTTACATATATCTGTTGCAGATATTGTCACCTATCTCAGATATTGTGAGCAGAAGGCCAAACAACAATAAAAACCATAAAATGGTAAAGCTGTTACGATATAATTTATGGCATAGGAATTCCTCGTAATGGAAAAGGAAAAGAGTTGTTGCGATGGAGAAAAAAAAATAAATAAAAATAAATGTTGAATGACTGAAAAAGTCTCAAAACAAATATCTAGCTTTGTGAAACAGCGTAAGGTAGATCATATAAACAAGTTATAATTTAATCAGAGGACAAAAATGTCTTATGCAAAATAACAAAGACAAAAAAAATACACACGAAAAATGATTTAACTACCAAAAAAATGTCATTATATTTGACAAATTTGCATATGCGCGCAATGTCGAACTTTTTCTTGGGTAAAATTCATCATTTTTTGAAAAGGACTTTGAGTGTCATCGTCTTTGAAATGAAAAAATTGTTTGCTGATGACAGTGACGATGAAGAAAGAGGCTTATATGTGCATATCTATTAAAAAGTCTTTAATTTGACATCATTTAAATTTTCGTTCTTGTCTTTTTCTCTCTATCATCCTTTCATCCGTACTCTTCCATGCAATCAAAATGTCTAGCTCTCACAGTCAATGTCGACAAATTTTTATTACAACTCTTTTATTTTTGCATACACTTTTTTTTCTCTTATTTTATCTATCGCGTCATTCGCACTGACGTTACATTGTTTTGCTGCAACGAATGACTTGCTGCATTCATATCGTGTGATGTGTCACTTTTCAACAATATTCATATGAAATTTTAGTACATATATGTTTTTTACTCGATTTGTGTAAAATAGGTAAAAAATCGAAAAAAATCCATTTTCCTATTTGGAAAAACCCAAGGGAAACAGATTGAAGAAAACACCATTCACATTACCATTTAAAATGAGAAAATTGAAAATTATATGACTATATGTTACAGTAATTAAGTGGACAATGTATTTGACAAAAAAGCCATAATGTTGGTCATTATTGCTGAACAAAACGCGAATGGTGTGCTTAAATGTGTGCCTCGTAAAATTAGCTTGCCACAGTAATGTTTTACGAAAGTGATACCAATTCGGTTTTATTGTTT